ATTACTTCTGACTGCTTCGGTCGAGAGTGGTGCGCGAGGTAGCTTGGTAATACCTCGGCTGGGTTTGGCCTCGTGGGTGTTTCTTCTCTTTTGTTGTAAACCACCTTACCCACAGCGTGGAAAATACCCAGACTGGCTTCGCGTTGAGATATCAGCTCCAGGGTGTCTTGCTCCCCCTTCGTCATGGAAATGCCGGCCTTGGCGCCCTTTGATTGCTTGGATAAAGCAACTTTGGCACCCCAGTCAGCGTCCTGGTCGCCCTTCAAGCACATGAACTCCAGCGACGAGATTGCACTTCGAATGTCGCCAATTTCACCCAGTCGTTTCAGCACTTGAGGCCCCGGAGTGCGTTTCCGGCCAGACTTGCGCGCCTCCTTCATGACCACCAGCTCCAGTGCTTTCGCGAGGAGCGTGGGCGCGATGGCGTTGAACTCGATGACCCTTGCGCCGGGGTGTCGCAGGATATCGGGCCCGAGCAAGCGATGCGCAGTGAAACTGTCCGCCGAAGCCGAGGTCGTGGTCAGCAGCGTTTCCGAGATGACCAAGACGATCGGAGTGATTGCCTCATGTGAAGGCCGGCGCCCGAAGGCAGAGAGTGCAGGCGTGTTTGTCGCCAGATAGTCCAAGATGGTATTTCTGAATGAAGTCAAGGCTGACGACGACCTCGAAAAGGTGTTGGGAAACTCCTCCACCAGGATGATCTTCTGTGATGAAGGGTCCGCCTTCTCAGTCTTTGGCCGCGGTGCCTCCGCCGTCAGATCCAGATCGAGCTGACCGAACTTCCCGCCTCTGCCTAGGAACTCCTGGAACTGCCCGGATGCAGAAGAGTACCCCAGGTTTGCACCGTTCGCACTGGTCGGATTCCTCCACTCCAGCAGCTCGGCGCCCATATCTTTAGCCAGCAGTCTCATCGTCGTTGTCTTTCCGGAGCCCGCCGCGCCTTTGAGGAGCAGCAATCGCTGGCGCAAGCTTCCGCTCACAACATCCTCCAACCATTTCCGCACATCCGCGACCTTCCTCTTGTGTACCGCGAGCTCGTCCAGGTTGATGGGCCCGAAGCGCTCTGACCATGGCCGCAGGTCGTCGTCGAGTGCTGCTGGTGTCGCCGGGCGCGTGGGCTTGAGGAACTTCTGGCTTGCAGTGAAAGACGCTGCTGACGAAGCGGGAGTGTTATCGCGGAAGCGCTTGCGCGCGTTCTGGCCGACTATGCTCGAGGTGCTTGCCTTCTGGTCCGCAAAGTCGTCGTCGGAGATGGGATCGCTCACGATGTCATCGAGAGGTACAGTCCTTGAGGAAGTAGACTTGGCAGTCGTCCGCTGCGCCTGTTTCGAGAATAGTGTCATGAGGTCGCCGTTCTTCCCCTTCTCTTCGACCTTGACGCGCTTCTGCCCTTTGCCCTTGGCCTTCTCTGGACTCGTACTCGGGCTCTTGGTGCCCTTGTTCGATCCATTTCGTGCTTGGAGGACGGACGGTGCTGGTATGGGTTTGCCTGTGTCGGCGGTTCGAGATCGTGTCTTCGTCGGGCTCGGCGATGCGGTCGCGTTTCTGCTCCCAGCTTTGGAGTTCGGGGAAGAAAATAGATACTTCGTCAAGGTGTTCGTCTTTGGACGCTCGTCTTCTTCATCGTCGGATTCTACGACATTGCGCCGCCTTCTTTTGGCCGGCGGAGCCATTGAGAGGGTTGTCGTTTGGCAAGATTAACATGAGGGGTGCATGATCTCGGCGGGTGCAGAAATCAACGCGTCTTCGCTGGTGACGTTGACGAACGGGGGATGTTGAAAACAAGCAAAAGCAAGCAGGCGCACCTTGGGCGGCTAGTGAAGGCAGCTTCCTCGTCATTCTGGACCCCCACTTTGATTGGCACTTTACAGTGGGTGGGCACTAATCGGCTGCTAAGTTGTCGGTGCCTGAGCGAGCTTCGTCCCGCCCGGCTGCAGCTCAATTAGTGAACCCATGTACATGAAAGTACCTAAGTCACAGACTACCTAGAGCGAGACAGACACTTAAAACCAGTCGACACGGGAATGAAGTTGAGTGAAGATGTCAAGGAGGTTTGATTGATGATTGATATCATCTGTTTGATTGTTATTCTGTTGGTCACATAAGCGCAGGTGACTAAGTGCTGTTCGTAGCCCCTTAGACACCCGACACGGTGAAAAGTGACATACAAACGACTCCGCCCAAACGAGAGCACAATTACAATTTCAACTTCATTCTCATTATGTACGCCCTGTTGTACAGTATTAAACGACAGACTGCCGCGTATTCGTTCAGTTACAAGTTCGGTCGAGCGAGGGTCACCGCGTCATCGGCATATGCTGTTAATTCAGACATTGACTACTGTTGACTTAGAACGTCCATCCGTGGAAATTATCGACGAACGTAAGCGCAGAGGCGAGGTACCGCTCGTGGACGTCGCCCCACGTCCTCGCGGCTTCCTTCATGGCACGAATGGCTGTGACCATTAGATACGAGTCCCTTGCTTCAGCATCTGAAGAGGTACCTTTGACAAAATGAGCGTCCTTGGCCCACTGCGAGTTCAGGGCCGCCTCCTCGACGTGGCCCCAGTGTCGCTGCTTCAGGTCCGTATCGACGTTGTCAGAATCGATCTTCGGTCGCAGGAGGACGATGTACACCGCGAGGGTGAACAGCCACCATTGCCGGACCAGGCTCACGTGGAACTTGGTCGGGATGAATGGGATGAGGATTCGCACGGCGTGGCTCGTCGTCAGCAGGTGGACTGTGAAGAAGTTATAGGCGTGGGTGCCTCGTGGAACGGTAGCCACAAGCAGCGCCACGGCCAGCTCCTGAGACTCTTCAAATTGCTTCACGGGATCTGTGATGTTCCACGCATTCCAGTACTCCAGCACAAGATCCTCGTGCTTCTCGAACAACGGCTCAATGTTCTCCGCATTTGGCTCCTTGAAGAGCCCATCGAATCGCTTGTCCTTCGCCAGCTTATCCATGATTTCGAACGTCGACTTCGAGCTAAATGAGGAGGGCTTCGAGTACTTCTTGTGGTCAAGGTACTTGTGGAAAAAGTTGTAATTCGTCGTGGCAAGACCGAGCGCCTCGATGGCAACCTCCTTGCTGTCGATTTCGTATGCGTATCCGAGGTGGATGAGAGGGTGGCCGACTTCATGACAGGTCAGCATCGACACCAGGAGATTCTCTCGGGACATACGTACGACCACCAATAAGCGCATTTACCAAAGGCTCCTTGCCTTCGAACAAGAACTTATTCACGACCTTCTTCCAATCGTACCCGCAGCGTAGCGCCAGCTCGTCCTCAAAGAAGTCAACGTATGCCCTCTGATACCTCTTGTCGCCCAGGAAGTCTCGCCAGTCGTCCTCGGTGACCTCGTCAGGCGACTCCGTCCATGGCTCCAGCTCTTTCGTCTCGATCTCGTAGAGGTCTTGGAGCTGCTTGTCATTTGCGCCGAGCAGGTACGCCGAGCCGAGGATGTGCGGCGCATGGTTGTGAAACTCGAGGTTGTGATAGAGAATGGCATGGTTGGCGTGATTCGCCCTCAAGAGGTGCTTGAGGCATCGCGCGCGCTTCTCAGGGTCGGTCTCGACGTTATGGACTTCGACGGGAGGGATGTCGATGGCTTGGGCGTCGTCTCCGATGAGCCTGTTGACGATTGGGACGTATGATAGGATTCCTGCCATTTTGAGTGTCTTGTGGGTATATCTTAGAGTGGTTTTGAGCGGTTCACATTATTGGAGAATTCAAGAAGAAGAACTGCGGTCGAGGGGCGCAAAAAAGCAGCCTTCGACATGGCGCGATCCGAGGGAAGCGTTGGGACCTAAAAGTGACGTGTTGATGGGTTTGAGGGAGTGGGGTACGTGAATGCAGGGTGTGCACGGTCGATTTTGCAGGGACGCTCCCGCCTCTAAGGCGCTGAAGCGTTGGCAAGCCCAACCCCGCCATTCAGCAGATGGCGCTGCCCCGCTATCGAACATCTGGGTCCGGGGACTTGAAGCCAACAGAAAAGATTTGACAATGCATTTGTCGTCTTTGTCTACGCGAGACAACTCTGTTTTCTCCTTCTGTCCCTGTATTCTACTCAAGCATCTCGAGGATGTGGGTTCAACTACTACGGCAAACGGCGGAGAAACCCCCAAGGACGGCTGACGACAGGATGGGCAAGGGATCTCAACAAATATTGGGCTCATGGAGCCAACTCCCGCCATGGACATGGATGCAGCGCTGCAGCGGTCCGTCGGCCAAACTCCAGGTTGCACAACGAGGCTCGAGTCTTTGAGTTTGGGCAATCGAAAAGTGGCCATCAAACTTCATACCTCTCACCCGTTGTCCATGCCAGAGACATCGAGGTCACCTGCGCTGCTGCACACGCATCACATGTCTCTCTCAGGTCAAGATTTGACGCCCAAGAATGAGGACTGGTGTTTGAGTTTGTTAATCTAGGGAACCGTGTCTGTAGACCTGGGCATGAGCTGGTTTAAATACCCTGACGAGCCCCTGCTTGACCCGTTTCACAGCCATAATGTCAAGAGGTGTGAGATCTAGTCGACCCAAGTGGGTTGCAGAAGGATCTCTCGTCTCCGGATACAGACCGGGGACCCGAGACACCAAGGTAAGCTTGAGCTGAGAATCGTTGCTTACCTAAACCCGGGCACATGCGATACTGGACCTCGAACGCGAGTTTATGATATTCTCGGTGTATGTAGGGTATATGATTGGTACGGATCTATGTGGATTCTTTGCCATTGACCAATAGAATCCCAGTTGTTCACCGAATCTCGACATGTAAGTGCAGCTGCGATGTTGAAGGGGGTGTTAGAGCCTCACGGGAGGAGTGTATAATTTCCAAGCATCGGGTTGCGATACCTGCCAAACCCCTCCTGAACAACTCACAATTATCATCACGTACATACACCCGGGGTCTCTTTGCATCTGCAAACTTCCTCCAAACCCATGTCAAATTACTGGGTCTCATTGCCCTATCCACTAAGAAACACATATATCACCGAAGATGGCTCACTCACCACAAGATATTTACAAGTTCCTGGGCCAACAGGCGAGATGGAGCAGCCCAGAACCCTTCCCTACCTTCTTTGATGACGCCGTCTATTTCCAGGACTGTGACGGCGAATCCACCTCGTCCCCCTCTTCCTCTAAGGAAAGTCGTCCATCGCTCACCATGCTCTCCGCCTCCCCTCCTTCGCAACGTTCCCAAAGGACCCCTTCCGAGACGTCTTCGGCTGCCACTCCGGACCCTCCACCAGGAAGCTCCCCGCGCTTTGAAGTCCTTCTTGACCATCCCGTCAGGGGTTCCGACGAAGACCTCCATGGCCTCCGACGCTTCGACGACAAGTTGACAACCCCCCAACTTGGCGAAGAGGATCTTCCCAGACCGACCAAGCTTGATATCGCCGGTCATGCCAAACCCGCCAGGTCCCGCTTCATTCCAGACGTCAGCAAGGTCAACAGCGTACGAGATGCGGGCGCGTGTATGAGGTGTCGCTTGCAGAGAGTCTCATGTACAACCTCGGGCATTTGTGCGACTTGTACCAAGACATGCCCAAAAGCCTCTGACATCTGCTGTAATCGCAAAGACTTTGCAACGGTGGCTCGCGAGTGCTCATCAAGGAGATGTGAGGCAACCCCCAACTAACCCCCACCTTCGGAACACACCTATGGCGCTGGAATGCTGACATACCCTAGTTGCCGGCTTAACTCACAAGAATGACGATGTCGTCAAGGAAATACTTCGTTCTGCGCGACCAGAGTTTGATGCTCATGTCTTTAAGGGTCAGATTTTCTTGGACCGGAGCTGCACCGGCGCTTCACTCCCAGCCTGCCTAAGGAACTACACTTACAAGACAGTGGGTACGGACACCATCACCCATGTCGGATGCACTTTTTCGAAGTCGGACTTCAATCCAGCGTTGCTTCAAGACCATCAGCTTGAATGGACCGAGCGATCCTTGTCGCCCGAGGACTTCAGCACCTTTGAAGGTGGTATTGAGTGTCTCATCAGGGCATACGTCAGATTGGGCTATGCCCGTCAGCGTCCTCAAGTAAGACATCAACCCGACTGCCGCGCTCCTGTCTCATCATGTCTGACCTTCTCCTAGTTCTCACTTCTCGAGAAAGTTCACATCTTCAAATCCGCCTACAAGATTTGCAGGGCGCAAACCCTCTTCTTCGTCCAGCCAAACGGCAAAGGCGTTGAGGAATTACCTCTCCCAGCCCAAGCGGAGCTGAGAGGCGTCGCTCGAGCGGCCCTCGAATCTTCAGAGAGGGACATCCTCAGTGAACTTGACAAGTACCTCAAGACACCCAAGATCTCCGACCAAGACAAACCTGCGGTATGGGCCGCTCTCTGGCAACTCATGTTCGTGTACCGGGACCTGCTCCGCAACGTCCGGCCCTGGCGCAACAACGCCGAGGCCCTCTTCAACGCGGTCGCAGTCTTCTACGCGACATTGTTCCGGACCAAAGCTGCGCTCAAGTCCTTGGACGAGATTGAGTCTGCCTGGCTGCCTAATGACGCTCAACGTCATGACCTTGTCGGGACTTTCAACCATGCCCTGAGCCTGCGTGATACCTTCTGTAAGTCTTCCTATAGACCTTGCTTCTCACTTATACGTACAGTCATGACTTACACGCCGTTCTTAGACCAGAGCATCGTCGCCGGTATTGCTTCCATTGACGAGCGCCTCAAAATCCTCGTTGTGGACCCTGAGATGAAGGTGCTGAACCGCAGGGCGACTAACAAGAAGCCTGCTGGCGCCAAACGAGGCGCTGCGCATAGTCATGATGGCGACGAAGTCATGGGCGGCTGTTGATTTCTTGCCGTGTGTTTTTTTAACTAGTGGGACGAAAAATGTACGATGGATCTTTTTTTGATTGGCGGGCACCGGGCATACGGCGTTGAATTGGTTGCATGCATCGTGGAAATTTCCACGGATACCCGGGTGCGCTCATTTGATGGTATGAGCCGCCCATGATGAGAGATTGTCAAGCGATGCGCATGGGAGCCCACGCCAGCATGCTTCACAATTATGACTTAATGACTGGGGATCATTCTTATGTGTTTACTTACCATTTCATCTCAATTTGCTCATGAACTCGCAATTGTCAATAACACACAACTTATATGAAGCCATCACCACCTGATTCATAGAGTTGCGCTCTCATCGGCCAAGCCAACTCAACTAAGCACCGCTCCACGCGCCGAGGGAAAGACAGTCTTGAATGATGAACTTCCCTCGGAGCCGAAACTCACTTATCAGCCCGTAGCTTGTACTAACTTTGAGGCTTACCAAGACAATGGCACCATGCGTGAACGCATGCAACCAGATCGCTGGGACTCGGAGGTTCTCTCCTGTAAATCACCCAGGATCATGCGCAGTCTTATCAAGAGCCGAACATGCGGGGGTTCCAGGGCCAACCCAGGAACATGTCATCCGAAGTTGAGATGGATCACGGCCAAATCAGGATGCAGGGCGATATCTATGGGGTCGCTCCTTTTTGCGCGGGAAACGGCCGAGAACCCCACCACATCGTTGACCGAGGGGAACCTGGTAACCACGGAGGACCCCTCACCAACGCGCTGGTATCATCAACGATGCCAATCATGCGAGGTCATCATCTAAAAGACCTTCTAATGCCCTTTTGATTGATCAGAGCATACATCATCCACAAGCCAAGTAAAATAACAGCGGGCATCTCATGATGGCTTCACCACACCCGTATCAACAGCTTGACATCGATGAACGGGTGAAGCGAGTACTTCTGAAGACACCTCTCATTGATGGCCACAATGATCTTCCACAACAGCCGCGTTGCTGTTTCAAGGGCAAGATCCACAACAACCCCAAATTCGACTTTGCGAATGGCTTCCAGAGGGGAATGACGGACATCCCTCGTTTGAGGGAAGGTGAGTTGCTCTACACACTTGTAGTCGTGACACCTTGGGCTTTTACTAACACGTATTGAAGGTGCTGTCGGCGGCCAGTTCTGGTCCGTCTGCGTTCCCTGCCTGCGGTCCGCGGAGAACTTCTCGACGGCAGAGTACTCGACCATGGCGCGCGACGCTATTGAGCAGATCGATCTCACGCTGCGCCTAGTCGAGTCGTATCCAGAGACATTCGAACTGGTGAACGGTCCGAATGAGGTAAAGAAGATTTACGAGTCTGGGCGGATCGCGTGTTCGATTGGCATTGAGGGGTATGCATCTTTGAGCCCGTGTAAGTCGTTACTTGGGATATTAATTAGATTGAATAGGTTGCACATGGCTGGAAACAGCATCGGCATCATTCGCGCTTTCTATCGCCTCGGAGTTCGATATGTGAGTAATGAGAGACATGGCATGGTATCTGACATGGCTGACGTTGAGTCTCTAGTGTACACTCACCCATGTTTGCAACAACGCCTTCGCAGATTCGAGCACTTCGAAAGTCGGACCAGTCCACGGTGGACTATCCAGATTAGGTCGCTCAGCCCTCGTTGAGATGAACAGACTAGGTACGTCGTCATCAACTTCAGACTCAAGCACCATGTCTAACTTCACACAGGCATGATCGTGGACATCTCCCACGTCTCAGAAGACTGCGCCAAGCAAGTCCTCGAGCTCTCCCGCGCACCAATCATGTTCTCCCACTCCAACGTCAAGGGCGTGTTCGACTGTGCGCGCAACGTCCCCGACCACATCCTCGACATGGTCCCCGCAAACGGCGGCATCGTCATGGTAACCTTCGTGCCGGAGCACGTCGCCACCCGCCGAAAGGATGCCAAGATGGAGATGGTCCTCGATCACTTGTTCTACATTGCCGAGCGCATCGGATGGGACCACGTCGGCCTCGGATCCGACTTTGATGGCATTGCGTCAGTGATTCCTGGGCTGGAAGATGTTAAGTGTTACCCAGCGCTTTTGAAAGCCATCTTGGACCGAGGCGCAACGGAGGAACAGCTGGCCAAGGTTGCTGGAGAGAACATCCTTCGGGTATGGCGTGGGGTTGAGAAGGTGAGAGACGAGATGAAGGCGGAGGGTGTCTTGCCGGTTGAGGATGTTTGGGAGGGAAGAGAATGGTGGAAGTATGATGGATACTATCAGATGAAGGTTGATTACGATGAGGATTCGGGAGGGGATTGGTACGGCGTCCCTCCTCCAGACGAGGGTTTGTATCTTGATGATGATGGCGATAAACAGTAATCACCATCCATTGTCAAACATGAGAAATTGCGGAAAATATTCATGAAAACTGTCAACTTCCGACATTTAATATGTAAAATCAATCGTCTTATAACGTTCGCCATGATTTTCGCAACTTATACTTCGTGTCATGATGCTATTCGTAACATCACCAATTGTGTTGCGAGCAATGACCATACCAGAAGCTGGCCTCAACGTCACCCAATCAAGTTCGATCCTAGAAACTCGTACTTTACCTCAGTAACTATTCATCGTAGCGACTTTTGAACATCTTTCAAATGAATTATATCTGGTTGTGCAAATGAATTGGGGGTGCCGCAGAATACCCAACCATGGCATCAGTTTACTGTGTTTGTGTCGAGCCAATAACACCGTGGTTGTCTCAATTGGCCTTGAAACCGTCTCTCTATTGCTCCGACAAACAATCTCAACTCGCAACTCGGCACCCTGTTGCGACGTTGAGCGCGGGGTAGTTGTTCACCTCCGCGGTTGAGCTCAACCGGCGATAAGAGTTTCCCGCGGAATAAACACCGACGAACCTAGTCATTCCCACCACTCTTATCAAATCCATCTCGCATGTTCCCTGACCGTTCTATTGTACGAATAATGCGGGGCAGCTCCGGACTGGCACTTACACTGCCGACGTCCGTATAAAGTCATACATTCCTTGAACGACGCCCAAGACGGCCGACTCGCGCCGCAACCGCCTTCGCTTACATCTCACCCAGGATCTCGAGGAGAGCAAACATGGCGACAAAGAAAGAGTTGATGGCTGATGAGCCGTCCAAGGCCCTCGACCTCCTCGACACCGCGGAGGGCGAGATCGTCGACCCCCAGGAGTACTCGGCTCTCCTCCGCAAGATCGACTTCCGGCTGATGCCCCTGCTTTGCATCACGTACGCCCTGCAATCCATCGACCGCACCACGCTCAGCTATGCCGCCGTCTTTGGTGTCCGTGAGGATATCGGTCTCACGGGCTCAGAGTTCTCGTGGGCTGGCGCCGTGCTGTATCTTGGCTACCTTTTCTGGGAATTTCCGACAAACGTTCTTCTGCAAAAGCTCCCTGTTGGCACCTTCTTCGCCGCGACCGTCGTCCTCTGGGGCGCGGTCCTCATGTGCCACGGCGCCGTGCATAGCTTCCCCGGACTCGCGGCAACGAGATTCTTCCTCGGCATGTTCGAGGCGTCAGCCAATCCGACCACGATGATCCTATTCTCCATGTACTACGAGCGCAAGGGACAGCCCCTGCGCATGGGAATCTGGATTGGATCTGCCGGGTTGGGATACATCGCCGCCGGCATCGTCTCATTTGGCCTCGGACACATCTCGGGATCGATTGCGAGCTGGCGGATTCTGTTTCTGTTCTGGGGCTCCATCACTGTTGCATGGGGTGCGCTGATGCTGATCTTCCTACCGGGCTCGCCTCTTACGACCAAATTCCTGAGCGAGAAGGAGAGAGCGATGGTTGTTAACCGTGTCAAGACGAACGGTACTGGTGTTGAGAACAAGGAGTTCAAGTGGCCGCAATTCTGGGAGGCGATGAGGGACTTGAAGACGTGGCTGTTGTTCCTCTTTGCTGTTGCCAGTAACTCGCCCAATGGTGGTTTGACGACTGTAAGTCGGAAGCGCTCTCGAACGTAAGCAGATACTAAACCCCAGCAGTTCCAAGGTCTTGTTATCAAGGGCATGGGCTTCTCGACTCTGCAGACCACCCTCATTCAGATGCCTTCCGGCGGAGTTCAGCTGATTCTCTGCCCCTTGGCATGGTATGTTACCACTGAACCATCGTATCTTGCATCTTTCTAACCTCTTCCAGCTTCTTCGCCTCCTACTACCCTAACGCTCGTCTCACCATCATGCTTGCCTGCCTCGTTCCCTTCCTCGCAGGCATCCTCGGACTCTGGCTCATCGACCAATCGAACCCTTACGGCCGCCTCGCCTGTCTCTGGATCTCCTTTGCCTACACCGCCACCTGGACGCTCTCCATGTCCGTTGCAACCGCTAACACCGCCGGACATACCAAGAAGATCACCACCAACGCAATGCTGCTCATCGGATACTGCGTCGGAAATTTCATCGGCCCCTTCTTCTTCAAGACGGAGCAGGCGCCTAGGTACACCCTTGGCGTCGCGATGATGATCTTCTGCGTTGGTCTGCAAATTGCTTGTTTGGCAGGCATCTGGGTTCTTCTGTGGACTCGCAACCACTCACGGAAGACTGAGCACGCGGAGTCGCCGGAGAATGAGCAGCAAGCTTACGAACGAGGTCTTTTGGATCAGACCGATTTCGAAAACAAGTACTTCAAGGTGAGCCATACCAGTCCTATCTTGAGTTGTAACGAGCTAACATCGTCTAGTACGTATATTAAGCGACTTGTGACGAGAACGTGTGAGAAGACATCGAGAAAAGAGTGGACCCAAGGCTATCTGCTTTTCGCGTTGCAAATTCGTTGTCATGAAATAGAACAGATACCCTTGCATTGTCACAATGGCCCGTACTGCAATAGCTCTTGCCCTGAAACGACGCCCAACTTTTGATATCCTGTCCATCTCTTGTCGTTCACATATCATAATCACCGTGTTCTGTTCAACGAATCCCTCATTCAACGATTAAGGTAGAACCAGCGGCTAGCTTTAGTTGGAAACCTCTTCTGTCGGCTTCCGGCCCCAAAGTGAGTACCTAGATCTGTAAGTCATTGTAACAATCAAGACAGCCCGAAAGCCGAAACTTACACAGGCCAGTATGCATGAACGTTCCTATTATTAAGATCTTTGCGCAAGTCGATCAGGAGCACCTGGACTTCTGCTGGGCTCCAATCAAGAATTCTCGTCAGTGGCCCCATAAGAAAGCCTTCAAATCCCATGTTGAGATTCTCGTTCTCCCACATGCCTAGCTCTTTGTACTTGGGATCTTTAGGCCAGGTATTGATCGGCCACTTGTACTGCTTGAAGTGGACATCCTCGAACCCTACGTCGACCATCATCTGTCTCAATTCCGGGACGCTCTGAAAAGCGCGTCCAATTTTGGCCATGGCTTCTGCCAGGAGGCCGAGAGCTTTTGATATCGCGAGGTCGCCTGTGAAAGTGTCGTCATCGCAATCTGGGAAGATGTCGAACTCGTCCAGTTCAAGGTAGCCTCCAGGCTCCAAGCCGCTATGCGTATCAATATATCAGAAACAGCTACCTCGCTTGGGTTTAGTGATGATCTTACTTGTAGCACTTTTGGAGGTAGCTCTGCCAGTTCGCGATGCTCGAAGTCATCATGCGGCTATGGATATAATCGAACGGCTTTGAGAAGGTCCAGGGTTCTTCGATATCGTCGATCTCAAACCTAACATTCGGCGGTACGCTATGCAGCATTAGCTTAAGAGCGAAGTTTCAGCTGTATTCTAAGAGCTAAACCGTACAAGTCAACTTGAACTGCTGAGAGATCTACGCCAATGACCTGGACACCAATTAGTTACAGTCCCGCTTGGAGCACAATTATAATCTTACTTCGGCTTCGGGGTGTTCATCACCGAACTCAATGGCCCATAGCCCAGTTCCTGTGCCCACATCTAGAGCCCGCTTCACCTTGGCGCCTTTCTCATTAGGAGGGGCTGTTCCTAACTTGTTGTCGTGGGTGAGAAGGAACATGTGATGTTGCAAATCTGGAAACATTAATGCGGTGTACCTCAGAGTCAAGATGGGGATGAGCAACCTAGCCTCTCATTCTCTCTGTCGTCGTTTGGATAGTTGTACTCTATATTTGTTAGGACCACTTGTGATTGATGCGATGAAATTGACCGTCTTACTTCCATCCTTGTAACGATGATATGTCCTGCCATTCTCAAGTCTGTAGTCCAAGATCGAGCCGCTCACGCTGGTAGTCGAAGAGGCAAGACTCTGTTGAAGTCAGCATCAGAGTTCTTTACTTCTTGACGAGGACTTACCCCAATTGAGGAAGCGCCATCATCAATCGTCTGGACAAGTCAGCAAACCTGATTTCAGATTGTTACAGCAAAATCATACATCATCGGCGACAATAAGGCCATCAGTTTCGGGTGCAACATGTGCAGGGCTTGCGGCCGCTGGAGAAGACCCGGGGGACTTCTGGGGGCTCTTCGGACTCTTTGGGCTTCTTGTACCGGCCATTCTTGCAACGACTCTCGTCAAGAGGTTCTCGAGACCCTAAAAGATCTTGCAGTTGCAACCGTAATGGAAGACATCTGTTCCGTGAGCGACATTTTATCTCTTCGTAACCATCGCCTGAGTTTTCTTTACCCCTCTTCTTGGCTAGATACGGTCATGCAAGTTTGCGATGAATTGTGACGGCCGATGCATAAGCGACGAGTAGCCAACGGTTTTTGATGGTCTGTTGGTTCTTCAGTTGCAACTCACGACTGGGGTTGTCCCAATGCAGCACGAAGCCTTCCAACAAACATCTCGAGGCCCTGTTTCCGGCCCCGAATCCGACCAATGACTACCAATTGTTAGATGGTTCGTACTGCATCCGCGGGCGGCCCGATGGAGAACATGCAATGCAGCGGATTTCTCCACGCCAATCGGCGAGGTTTCAATGTGTCCAAATTGACGAACAACTATGTAAACAGGGGTCTTCGTATTGTTATGGACAAGTATTGAACGTGGTGTCTCTGGTGGGCCAGCGTCACAGCGACCGGTCAACCGCAAAAGGGCGTTCGTGGCATTTTCTGTATAGGGAATGCGGAGGATGTCTCGAGATTTCTGGCCAGGAAACCGGTATCACGCATATGAGCGTGCCTGTTGAGATTCACGTGAAAGAGACTGCTGTGTAAAGGCAATGTAACTCCAAATCAATCCTCCGTTCATCTATGCAAATATTCGACATAGATCTTCTCATCCTCTTCGACGCGACTGACCTTAGTTGCTAGCTTCACTGGCCTCTTCCGCAGTAGGCTTCCGTCCCCAAAGAGAATATCTTCCACTCGTTAGCCACACACACTCACAAGTATCGGGAAATCACGCTTACATGGGCCAATAAGCATGAATCCTCCGATCAGATAGATCTTTTCGAACATCAACCAGGAAGACTTGAACCTCCTCCTGCGTCCACCCGTGGATTCGGGTAAACAGTGCCATAGCCCACGCCTCGACGCCTATATTTAGGTTTTTGTTGTTCTAGGCTTTAATCTTCTTATGCTTCGTATCCTTCGCCCATAGGTTCGTCGGCCACTTGTACTTTTTCATCGTCACGTCGCGGAAGCCGATGTCGACCATCATGTCCCTTAGCGCTGGGATGCTTTGGAAGGCGCGCCCAGACTTTTCGAGGGCGCTAAAGACTAGGTTGAGATATCTGTGAAGAGCATGTTCTTTTTGGAGGGTGCCGTCGTCAGAAGTAGGGTAGTCCATCTCGTTCATCTCGAAGTAGCCACCGGGAGCGAGACCGCTGTGAGACTAAGCACGAGATTATTAGGGTTGAGGCTCAGAAAGGAGGGACTAACTTGTAGTATCTCTGTAGATAGACTTGCTATTCCGACAGGCTGGAGGTTATTATTCGACTGTGGATGTAATCGAAAGGCTGAGAGAACGTCCAAGGTTCTTCAATATCGTCAATCTCGAACTTGACGTTCGGCGGAGCGCTGTGTTCCAGTTAGCCGCTAATACTCCTCACACTAATTTGACAAAACCAATTTAAAGAGAACAGTGGGCTCATACAAATCTGGCTGAATGGCGGACAAATCAATGCCGAGAACCTTCATCGTCGGTTAGCTTTCCCAAATGTCGTCCGAGGACAAGGTTGTATGTCGGCCGACCTCGGCTTCAGGATGTTCATCTCCAAACTCGATCGCCCATACTCCAGTCCCCGTGCCGACGTCTAGAACGCGCTTCACCTTGACTCCGAGACTCTTGTCGTTGGGTGGCGCTGTTCCCAGCTTGTTGTCGTAAGTGACGAGGAAGAGGTTGTGCTGCATCTCGAGGCGATCGTTTTCCGTCTCGTCGTTGGGGTAACTGTATTCTGAGCACTTTCAATGGTCTGGCGTCTTTGATAGGGGCGTGGGGAAATCCTACTTCCATCCTTGTACCGGTGATAGGTCCTGCCGTTCTCGGTGCGGTAGTCGAGGATGGAACTGCTTACACTGGCGCTTGAAGACGTGATGCTCTGTCAAAGAGGGCGTTGTAAAATTACACTCTGGATCTATTTCATCGGTGAGAGTCACTGGTTTCACTCACTCCGAGCTCTGATACAGAGTCATTCGTTGGCTGTGATGCCTTGATTAGCTACTAGCGACAACTCAAGCTGGGGGCGTCACGCATACCTCGTCGGCGGCGAGAATAACTTCTTCGTTTTTGTTTGGAATGGTGGCGAACGTTTGGGTCATATTGGACTGGACTTTTGAGCAGCGAGAGATGTTGTAGGACACACTTGGAACAGCCGTCGAGACTATGCTGTGGCGATGTTGTAAAGAGGAGAACTGAGAGCGACGCGGAAGGCTAGTTTATCTACTTCTGGGGAGCTGTTCAAGCCCTGTAGTTCATCCCCTCTTTTGGACCGGGGACAAGTGATGAATGTTGCATATGCGACAGGTATCCTTGATGCATAGCATGCCATCGTTGGGCCCCGCTGCCAATGAATGCATGGGCGTGATCGGTTGGGGTGTCAGGCAAGCTGTGTTGGAAGAGAAACCGTCCTAGACCCTGGCTTTGGGTGCAAGTTGAAGGAATCCTAATCCAACCCTATCACTCATTTCAAGCTGTCCTCCGCGCTCCACGCTGCAGAACACATGTAGTAAAAGAAGTTTCTAACTCAGTGTATGATTCGTTATTTTTGCATTATCCAAGGCTGAGTGCAACGCCCCGTGGGAAACTCTTGTTCATTTCGTTCTGCAATTTTCGGCCCATGCCGGCCGATCTTGCGCTGGAAGTGTGCCATTTGCGGCAGTTTGGCGGGTGATAACGGCCGGGAGGACACCGCCATGAGAGCCCGGAAAAGCGGGGCCACTTCGGGACCGGATCGGGCCCCAAATAGGCAACTGCTTCTTTGCTTGAGCAGTATCCTCCTAGCGGCTCTTATACCATAGACCAGATACTGAACAACACAAGATGATTGTGGAAGCACTGTGGAACAATTCCAAGTCCTCTCTATATCCGAGGCATACTTATTCTAAATGCTAGACGTCTAGAACTTCGCCAAGGTGGTGCCGACCTTGTGCTTCCCAGCAAGCTCCAGAATAACCTTTCCAAGCGACAGATCCATGATTCCAATGCCAACACTCTTGTACACAACAAGCCCATTCGCAAGCCACTCCTTCAGCCCCTTCGCCTCATCCTCTCCCGCTTTCCGCAGCCTGTCCGTGAACTCGCCAACCTCAACAATCTTCTCCGCCGGAATCTTAGCCTCCACAAGCTCGCCGGCCTCCAGGAAGCACGCCTCCCGGCTGTCCACAAAGATCACGCCATCCTTCTTCTCACCCTGCGACGGCGCATACGCTCCCAGCGGCGTGTCGATGACAGCTCGGAGGAAGTCGGGGTCGATCTCCTTCATGTTGAGCTTGTACGACCCGATGGCGGCGACATACCGCGTCTTGGCCGTCGCGCGCTCCGACGTGAGCCACTCCGCGGGGAACAGCCGCTCGGTCGAGGGCGTCGTGCAGAAAATCACATCGCTCTCCTCAACCGCAGCCCGAAGACCGCTCTCATCGGCGGGGGTCGTCCCCGGCGCGGCCTCGATGACCGAGAACTCCACCCCCGCGCAGTCCCCAACACCACTCGCGGCACCCATCTGCCGCAACCGCTCAATCAGCTCGCGCGCGCGGCCCTCCGACCGATTCACAATCGTAACGCTCTTCACATCCGCCCCGCGCAGCACGAGCGCCAGACGCAGATGCCACAGCGCCTGCTTCCCCGCGCCAAAAACCACAATCTTCTCCGTCGCCTGGCGGTAGCGGTACAGCAGGATGGAGCCCAGCGACGTGCGGAAGGCGGTCAGCTCCTCGGCGTTGATCACGCCGACGGCGCGGCCGGTGCCGTCGCACACGGTGAGCACGCAGCGCAGGCCGCTGGCCGCGGCGTGCGGTGGCGGCAGGCCGACGACCTTGACGGACATGCCGCCCTCCATGGTCGCGGGCATGAAGAGGCCGGTGGTGCCGTCCGGGCGGACGACGGCGGCGCGGTGCGGCTGGTATTGTGCTTCTTGGCCGACGGAGTAGGAGAGGAAGGCGTCCGTGAGGACGTCCGACATGTGGGCGACGTCGTCGGGGCCGAAGTTCTGGAAGAGCTGTTTTACGTCCTCGTCGGACAGGACTGTGAAAGCCATGGTGGGGGCGGGGGTTTGTTGTCTGCGATTTCTGGGGATGGGCGTTCGCTAGTGAGTTTTTGGAGAACTCTCGCCTTGAGAGTGAAAATACAAGTTGAAGAAGAGAGTTTGGGCGCTGCAAAGAAGTAAAATGAGTGTTGTTGAATATGGTCTGAGGATGTGTAAACGGGTGGACCGAAGTAAGCCGGTCCCTCTCCGAGGATTTGCATGCTGCGGGGCGCCGGTCGGACCCCTGTCCCCGTGGCCCGATCTCGGACCCCTCGGCTTGACCTGCCGGTTCCGGTGAGTTTCCTTGCCCTTTTGAGCCATAATGTCGGGGTTCACCAGTCGGAACAATAGTGCAAAGGTCGGAGGCTCAAGCCGACTTTCCATATTGTGTACGTTGGTCACACTCTTTATTGAGTAAATTCTGTCTTGTCTGTTGTTGCTTGCGGACAAATCCACATGTGATGCCAGGAATATAGTCACAGTGAGCATGTTCAAGGACGAATGCGAGTCGCCATAATCATACCATTCTCTACGAGTTGGATTGACTCCGATTGCTTCAATCAGCGATATACTCCTGCGGATTGGCTTACTTGCAGGTAAACAACCTACCAGTGCCGATGCGAGATTGGCGATCACCGGTCTAGTTCTGTCTCTGGACTCCAATTCGCTTGACGGTGATCTTGTCTGGTTGTTAATTTTGCCGCAATATTTTGACGTGGCCTTGCATCTTTATGGGAAGCAATTCCTACCCAGACGTGCCTTAAAGGGTCTGCATCACGGAGATGCGTGCGTCAATAAATTGGCCCAACCCGCGTCAAAACGTCGATCGAGGGGGAAAGTCTCAAGAGGCAAGTGAACCGGCGCCTTGTCCCCTTTCGTCATCGCCAGCATGGTTGTATTGGAAGGCTGCCGGCTGAGCGCAAATAGAAAGCAGGCAATCGTCGACGCCAGCTCTTGGGTTTGCAAACGGCGTCATCTGGATTGGTGGTCGTGATCCGCGTCGGATAGTCCACATGATGCCTCCCCACGATGCCTCCCTTTCGGTAGAACTCTCCCGAATACGGTCCCTGCCGCCACATCACCTCCTTCCGCGTCATAACCCGAGCTTTGCATTTTTGGTCGAAAGGGCTGTTCGATCCACGCGACACACCTTGCCTCGCCGCGCCGGCCGCGGGAAACCTAACGCGGAGATGGTGCGGAGGTAACGCGGAAGAGGGCGAGCATCGAAAACTCTCGACTTCGGATGACCTCTCAAAAAGAGGTAACTTGAGGCTTTGGCGGACAATAATCACAATGGATGCGTCTGTACTTTGATCAGCAATGCCCATTGAAGCGAATCAGAGAAAATGCTGCCGAGCCTGTGCGCAAGTTGGCAGACAGGAGGGAGGGAGGGCTGGCTTCCACCACACCACCAAAAACTCAACCCAAACCCCGTGTCATCGCCCGAACGTCACAAATGTCAGTTTGCGTTCAGACTGAATCGCAGAGACGGCGATCACGTTCATCGCATCGTAGTCAGCTGCCATCCCGAGTACCCGGGACGTCCGCATCCACCGTGAACCAACGACCAACAAACCAACACACGCGGCGCCGGCGCCGTGATGGTGCGGCGCAGCAACATAACGCCGGACCATAACGGCCGAGTTCAGAGAGAAGGCAAAACTCCCAAAAAGTCGGGGGGATGGCTAGGTCTTCGGCAGGATTTAGCGCCAAATCTCTCTCTAAGAACCCCGTCTGAACCCCACCAAAAGTCCGCAACGTCGGGTGCCAGACCGGGAGGGCACGGCCAAGGGCGCCAAGGATGCGCGGACTTTCGGGTCCGCGGGGGCCATCACCGGCCCGCTGCAGCGCCCTCTGAGACACTTTTCTGAACATTGCGTGCAGCGTGCACGCTCTGCTCTTCGCTGCAACGGTCTCTGCTGCCGTGTCACCCTGTCAAATGCAAGCACGCCCAAGAATTGTCGCTCATTGCCAGAGGTGATGACAAACCGGGAGGTCCCCTTTTCGACCGACGTTGACCGGTGCTGCGAAAAACGAGGAAAAGAACGGCCTGCTGTAGCGTCTTGCATATCCGTCGCCGCCACCATCGAAAGAAACCTACCTCACGTTCCCCCGGCCAGTTCTAGTCCAATACCCGCTGTCGTGCTCCCCACGGCACCCCCTGGGGGCCTGCCTTAGGTCCAGTCCAAGCAGCAGCCCTGATGCGCCCTGTGCCCGCCACTTCGACGACATCACTCCAGACGACTTACACGCACAAAGCGGGTGTGTGATCCACTTCCACGCCAAAACCTCGGAGCCGAGCTGCCATCTCAGGAAACGCAGCCCATTCCTTGAACATGTCTTGTATGAACTCAAGGCACGACAAATACCACACTGACCGTAAAAAACAAGGATAGAGGGTGTGTGGGAATCGACGGGAAGGATTGCGCCTACCCGTGTTTCTGCCCTGCACGATGAGACTACCGACAGCTCACATTTCCGACTTCTCTTACAGCCGCACCCCCCCTTTTTGCTCGCCTAGCGCCTAGTGCCCATGAGAGAATGAGCAAAAGAGAAAGCGAACCTATCCCGAGTCGAGACTAGGAACGACGGGCGGGCCAAATCGTCTCAACGGCCCGCCGCGCGTCATGGGCACTCTCCCGCCCACGGTGTGGGAGCGGCGTTGCTCGATCGACGGGCCTATCACCAAGTGGGAAAGGAGCAGGAAAACTCTAGATTCGTCCGCGGAGTAGCTCCACGCCTCCATGGCATCTGCGAGATGATATGAGAAAAGAAAGGGACCCAAGAGTGTTCGTATCATGCATGACGGCGTCCGGATGGGCCCCGGGGGGCGTTGGAGTCGCGAAAGGATACCCGGCAAGTCGATGCCGCTGCGGTCCTGCGGTCCTGCGGTATGAGGCTTAGGGTCCTGTCGGGTTCGTCTGTGCCTTGACTTGACTCGGGCACAGTCCGCCGGCCGGGTTCCTTTGGCGAATGGATGGCGGGGAAATGGTAAACAGCCTGTGACATTGACGTTTTGCGAGAGTGCAGAGGGCCATCGTTGGTATTCTAAGTTTGATATGGTGAAGGGGTGTGTATGCTGCGGAGAAGCAGTATATAAAGAGTTTGCTACGACCCGGTTGAAATGTCTGTACTCGACTCTTGATATCAGGCAATCTAGTTTCTCTAGTCTATCAGTCTACAACTCGCCGGACCTCTGGTTACGGCTTCATGTCTATCCCTTCATCATAATCCTCTACCACTAACTTACCAAACCGCCAAAGGATGTTGTCAGACATCCAAGCAGCGAGCCCAAGGCTCTCCCCCTTCATCCTCTGGCCCACCGTGGTCGTCTCCCTGGTATGAACCTCACTTACACGCCAACCACTCCAAACACCACACCTCAAAGTAGCAACTAACACCAAACCCACAACCCCCCAGGCCCTCATCTACGCCCTCCTCTCAGCAATCTACAATCTCACCCTCCACCCGCTCGCAAAACACCCCGGCCCCAAGCTCTGGGCCGCCTCCCGCCTGCCCTACTCCCTCATGCTCCTCCGCGGCAACCCGCACAAGGACATCCTCGCCCTGCACGCCCGCTACGGCGACGTCGTCCGCCTCTCCCCGTCCCTCCTCTCCTTCCAGGCCCCGGACGCCTGGAAGGAGGTCATGGGCCACCGCAAGGGCGGCAAGCTCGAGGAGAACGCCAAACTGCCCGACTTCATCGACGAGCGCCACGCCGACCTCATCTCCGCCAACCGCGAGGACCACGCCCGCTACCGCCGCATTCTGTCTCACGGCTTCTCCGCCAAGAGCATGCAGGACCAGCAGCCCATCATCAAGTCCTACATCGACCTGCTCATCGAGCGCCTGCACAGCATCGCCGGCCAGGGCCCGCTCGACGTCGTGCAGTGGTACAACTTCACCACCTTCGACATCATCGGCGACCTGGCCTTCGGCGAGTCCTTCGGCTGCCTCGAGAACTCGGACTACCACCCCTGGGTGCGCCTCATCTTTGACGACATCAAGGTCGGGATTTACTTCTTCGTGTTCAAGAGCTACAAGCTGGTCGAGCCGCTGCTCAAGATGTTCGTGCCCAAGTCGCTGCTCGACAAGCGCGTCGCGCATTACCAGCTCATCGAGGAGAGGCTCGATCGGCGCATCGCGATGGGCACGCCGCGGCCGGACTTTGCGCAGTCGATGCTGAACAAGACTGGTGATGAAGTAAGCCCTTCCCCGTTCCTCCTTTCTACTCAATGCCATGTCAACTTACACAAACCGCAAGGCCCTCACCCGCACCGAGCTCATCATGCACTCCCGCCTCCTCATCATCGCCGGCTCCGAGACAACAGCCACCGCCCTCTCCGGCGCCACCTACCTCCTCTGCTCCAACCCGTCCACCCTCGCCAAGCTCAACGAAGAGGTCCGCTCCGCCTTCGCCTCCGAGGACGAGATCGACATCATCTCCACCGCGAAGCTCGACTACCTCCAGGCCGTCCTCGAGGAGGCCCTGCGCATGTACCCGCCCGTGCCCAGCGCTTTGCCCCGCGTGACGCCGCCGGGCGGCCAGGAGATTCTGGGGCAGTGGATTCCCGGGAACGTGAGTGTTGTTCCTTGCCCCTTGTCCTTCGATAATCAGAGAGTTTGTATCTTGGAGTGAATGATTTTGACGTGAAGAAACAGACGACGCTCGACATCTGGCACTGGGCAATGTACCACAACGAGAAGAACTTCCGCAAGCCCTTCGAGTTCCACCCGGAGCGCTGGATGGGCGACCCCGAGTTCGCAAACGACTCGCTCGACGCCCTCAAGCCGTTCCACATTGGCCCGAGGAACTGTCTCGGCATGAAGTAAATCGCCCTTCTTTCCCTTTATACTGACCCCCTTTTCAAACCACATACGAACCCCCCCTTTTTCCATATTCACACCAGAGAAAAACTCAAAGTACTGACTGGACATGAAAACAACAGCCTCGCCTACGCAGAGATGCGCATGATCCTCGCCCGCGTAATCTACAACTTCGACCTCCAGCTCGCCGAGGAGAGCAGGGACTGGCTGCGCTGCGACCAGCACCAGGTCCACATCCTCTGGAACAAGCCGCCGCTCAAGGTGCACATGACGCCCAGGAAGAGGGAGTAGTTGTTTAGTACTCAGTCGTAGTAGCCAGTAGTAGTAGTTGTTGTTACACAGCGCCCTCGGCGTGTGTTTTGTTTTGTTTTTGGGGGTACTTTCGTCGGCTTCCGGAGAGTTACGATTTAATAACTCTCCACAGCTGTCCCTTTTTATTAGGCTTTATTGTCATCGCGGGTACTGGGGTAGAAGAATCAAGGTGTTAGATTTGGATAAAGTCGAGATTCGGGATACGGGTTTGAATTGTGACTTCATCGTAGCATTGAGCGCTGGATGAAGCATTGGCCAAAACGCTCTGGCTGGTCCTCACCTATTACGTGGGCTAAGAGAGCTATATAGCATTGCAATGTCCACCATTTTTGAAGTAGATGTCAACTAATAATCCAATGCTATTCTTCGCTTTTCTCTCTTCTCTTGCTCTGCTGTCTTGCTCCTCCTCTTGTCTTTCTCTTCTCTCATCTACCCGTATAAAGCCTGGTGAACACACTCAAATAGTATTCAGCTCTATCTCTTTGTTTCTGTTCCTCCTCTGCCTCTCCTCTCTAGTACTCTACTTTTCTTCCTCTGTCTTCCTGCCTCTTTCTCTCTCTCCGCCATCATGAGTCATGAGTCTATCACAACTTCGCATCCTTACCCCCTTTCCGACCATGTAGTCAATGCTTCCTCCTCGGCGCGCGGTGGTACTGGTTCGCCCACTTCACCTTGACCCCAATCTCGTCCGCAATCTTGTACACGAAATTCGGCTCCCGCAGAAACTGCCTCGCCACCAGCACCGCGTCCGCCTGCGTGACCTGCCCGTGCTCCTCGTCCACCTCCAGCGTCGCGCAGTTGCCCTGGTCCACGCCATTATGCCCGCTCGCCTCGCCGTTCGTCTGCTCCCCGCGCGCCTGCACGATGCTGCGCGCCATCTCGCCGCTCGAGATCATGCCCACGGCGCCGATGAGCAGCGCCTTGCCCTCTTCTTCGAGCGCCGCCCGGATCTTGCCCGCGATGCTGACCTGGTAGTACGGCGAGATCTCAATCTTCTGCGCGTGGTTGTTGCCGCCCGAGGACACGTCGAGCAGGTCGATGCCGGCGGCGGGCAGGAGCTTCGCGAGGCGCAGCGAGTCGTCGACGGTCCAGGACGGCGCGCCGGCGTACTCCATCCACTCGGTCGCCGAGATGCGCAGGAAGAGCGGCATGCCGGACGGGATGACGTCGCGGACGGCCTTGATGGTCTCGAAGAGGAAGCGGGTGCGGTTCTCGAAGCTGCCGCCGTATTGGTCGGTGCGTTGCTGTCGGTTTGTCAGTTCCTGATCCTGTTATAAGAGAGAAGATAACCTACGTTGCTCAGAGGCGACAAGAACTCCGAGATCAAGTACCCATGCGCGCCGTGGATCTCAATGACATCGAAGCCCGCCTCGACAGCCCTCTCCGCGCTCTCGGCGAACTTCTTCACCAACACAGCAATCTCCTCCACGCTCAGCTCCTTCGGCAGCGCCCAGCCCTCGTCAAAGGGGATACTGCTCGGCCCGACCACATCCTCAGGCCACCCGCCCTCCTCCTCCTTCGCCAGCGCCTTGCCGACTTTCTCCGTAATCCACGGCGCCAGCGTGCTCGCCTTGCGGCCCGCGTGCGCCAACTGGATCCCCGCAAGCTGGCCCTGCGAGTGCACAAAGTCGACGACGCGCTTCAGCGGCGCCGTCTGCGAGTCCGCCCACAGGCCGACGTCCTCGGGCGAGATGCGCCCGCGCGGCTCGACGGCGGTGGCCTCGACGATGGTCAGCCCCGCGCCGTGCAGCGCGAACTGGCCCAGGTGCACGAGGTGGTAGTCCGTCACGTGGCCGTCGCGGGCGGAGTACTGGCACATGGGGGAGACCCAGACGCGGTTGTTGATGGTGAGGTCGCGGATGCGGAGGGGCTGGAACAGCGTCGGGGCCGGGGGCGAGGCGTCGACGGGGGTGCCGGCGGGGGGCTCCTGGGCCGGGGTGTAAAACGGCACGTTGGGGGCCGGCTTGTTTGCGGTTTTTGTCATTGTCGCTTGCGGGAAGGGGGGGGAGACGTGCGGGAATAATTGCGATGCTAGGTACTGCGATGTGACGGGTGTGCGTGCGGGGGTTGTCCTGTATTCTGTCTGTGCCGGGGGAGGATGAGGCTAGTCAGTGACGACAACGGGCGTCGTTTGTGGTGTTTTGCTGTTTTGGCAGAGGTTTCGAGTTGATGATGTTGCTGTCAGTCTTTTTGACGTCGACAACTGGGGGCGGAAGGGGGGACGGGGGTTTATGAACAAGGTTATAAATCCCGACAGCGGAAGACAGATCCCGCGAAGATGGGGCAGTTGAGCGTGCTTTGTGGTAGTTGGTCGTCGATTTGTCAAACTTATCCCGGTCGAGATAGGAAAGAAGCTCATCGGTGGTTGGTGCCGTCACACGTTTCTCGTCCTTTGAACAATTACCCAGCAAGAGACACTAATTGGACAAGTGTGGGGTCCTCAGAGGCGAGATTTATCAGCTTCGGTGCAAAGGTACGCCGTCCAGTCACGAATTGCAGCACAGCAGCGCCTTACAACCACCGCCCTAGAACAACCGCGGCACGTCCATATCTCGCGCCATCAGTGAAGCCATCCATTCCCACTTTGCTGAGTAATTGGGATTGCCGAATAGTGTGCGTCAGTGATGGATGCATGGCAAAAGACTGTGACGCTCTCCTGTGGCGTCATCCCGAGTTATTCCCCTTTCGCGGCGCCGATCCGGCAACCAACGGCCTGCCTCCCCTCGACCAGACCTCGCGAACCCCAGAGCTCAACTTGCTTGAGTGTGCCCTCTACGCGCGACACTAGCCCCGTTTCTCGCTACGGTGTTCTCCGGGTTTCTCGTAAATGAAGTCGCATTTTGTTTGTGCAAAGACGTTTCGAAGACTTTGTTGATCCATTGCATGGGTCATGTTTGACTAGCTGTCGCTTGAGACTAACATGTGCCACAACCCATGACACCGCACGGCCCCATCTACGGCTAAAGTTGTAGGTAAAATCAACGACTTCCTCTCCAAAGGCAACTGAGCCCGAATCATTCCATTGGTGCGTTAGGGGTGGTTCACACATATTTTTCAAGCATTGTCACAGGCGAGAAGACCAAAAAGTGATTGAACCATAATCATGAATTCATGACGTACTAACTACATTAGACCTCTGCCCGTTAAGGGGCTTGTGTGTCTACCTAGGGACCCTTCCCTGAAAGCGGTATCTGTTGAATGCCTTACTTTTCCCCGAGTCCCAAACCCGCTTGCAAAACGCCGTGGAGATATGTTGAAAAAAGAACGCCTATGTTGAATGTGCCTGAGCCCTTCCCCTTTGATTTTTTTCCGGTTATCCCCGCGGGTATTGCCACTTCATGTCTGTTGAATAGACCATCGTTTCCCACCCAACACCTAAATCACACTTCATATACATCGCATCATCCGCTTAGGCCTTGTCGGCGTACTTGGTGCGGAAGTACTTGGCAGCGTTGACCATGTTGGTCAGCGCGGCCTTGGTCTCGGCCCACTGGCGGGTCTTCAGACCGCAGTCAGGGTTGATCCAGAGCTGCTCAGGGCGGAGACCGTTGTTAAGCATCTCCTCGATGCGGGTCTTGATCTCCTCCTCGGAGGGAACACGAGGGGAGTGGATGTCGTAGACACCAGGGCCGATGTGGCGGGGGTAGGCCTTCTCCTCGAAGACACGGAGGAGCTTGGCGTCAGACTTGCTGTTCTCGATGGACAGGACATCGGCATCGAGGGCGGCGATGGCGTGGAAGAAGTCCTGGAACTCGGAGTAGCAGAAGTGAGAGTGGATCTGAGTGGAGTCCTCGACACCGGCGGTGGACAGCTTGAAGGAGTCGACAGCCCAGGCGAGGTAAGCCTCACGCTCCTTGCCGGAGCGGAGAGGGAGACCCTCACGGAGAGCAGGCTCATCGACCTGGATGACGTAGATACCGGCGGCCTCGAGGTCGACGACCTCGTCGCGGAGAGCCAGAGCAAGCTGCTGGGCCTGGACGGACTGGTGAACGTCGTCACGGGGGAAAGACCAGCGCAAGCAGGTGATGGGACCAGTAAGCATGCCCTTCATGACGCGCTTGGAGTGAGCAGCAGCGTACTTGGACTCCTTGACGGTCATGGGCTGGTTGTTGCGGCGAGAGATGTCACCGACAACGATGGGGGGGCGGACGCAGCGGGATCCGTAGGATTGGACCCAGGCGTGGGTGGTGAAGACGTAACCGTCCATGCGCTCACCGAAGTACTGAACCATGTCGTTACGCTCGGGCTCACCGTGGACGAGGACGTCCAGGTCAAGCTCGTTCTGGATGGCGATGACATCGTCCATCTCCTTCTCGATGAACTTCTCGTACTGCTCAGCGGTAATCTCACCCTTGGTGAACTTGTTGCGCTGGATACGGATCTCCTTGGTCTGGGGGAAGGAGCCGATGGTGGTGGTAGGGAAGAGAGGAAGGTTCAGGTGCTTCTTCTGGGCAGCAATACGAGTGGGGAACTCAGACTTGCGGTTGTGCATCTCAGGGGTGACCTCAGACTGGCGCTTCTTGACGTTAGGGTCGTTGGTGCGGGCAGAGGTGGCGCGGGACTGGATGTCCTTGGCGTTGGCATCAAGCTGGGCCTGGACGGAGGCAGCGTTGGTGATGGCCTTGGCAATGGTGGCAACCTCAACGGCCTTCTCGGAGGCGAAGGAGAACCAGGCGTAGACCTCCTCAGGGAGCTTCTTCTCGGAGGTAAGAGTGTGGGGGGTGTGGAGGAGGGAAGAAGAGGTGGCGACGATGACACGGTCCTCGCCGAGCTTGGCAATAGCCTGCTTGACGGTGTCAATGGCGCGGGAGAAGTTGGTCTTCCAGATGTTACGGCCGTCGACGACACCGGCGGACAGGATCTGCTTGGGGCCGAGCTTCTCAATGACGGGGCCGAGCTGCTCGGGGTTGCGGACAAGGTCGACGTGGAGGCCGTAGACGTTGCTGATGGAGGGGAGGACGTCAAAGTTGTGGACGATGTCACCGAAGTAGGTGGCCAGAACCAGCTTAG